GTTCAGATAATCTTTTCGTGCTAGCTGAGAGTTTTAATTTGTAATATCGGTAGTTTGTGTAAATGGCAGACAAGCTCAAACATGAAATTCAATACAATGGTAAGACTCAATAACAAGAATATGACAGAAGCTGTGGCAAATTAGAAAGTGAAATAAGAGTTAAGTTAAGCCACAATGTTGGTATCCATATGAATGGATATTGAATAAATGATGAAGTGAGAGGATAAGAGACCCGCGTAAACGCACAGAATGCTCTAACGACATCAAAAGACAAAAAAAAAAAAAAAAAAAAAAAAAAAAAAACGCCAACATATTCGATTTGCATCCATTCACTGTTCTAAGCTTCGTTTCTACGAGTGATCATTAACTCTCTTGGTTGGTATTGCTGGAAAAAAATCTTATCTGTGAAAATTTCAAGAGGTAAGATTTATCATTCATGATTACATGTAGTCATGAAGACGCATCAAGAAAAGTAGCAGCAATTTTTCGAAATTCCTGCGTAACCTACATTTTTCCCTTTTGTTGCTAGAAATGACCCTTTTCTTTTCTTTCGTTTTGCAGCACTTTGGTTGGGTTAATTGAAATTCAACATGAAATCGTTTCCTATTCATTTGTGACGTTACTTTTAACTCTGCAACAGTTTGTCGCAAAAATTCGCTAGTCAGTCAAAAGAATTGCCTCGGTTATTTGAAAAAAACTTGTTTGAGTCTCGGCTGATAAATTTTTCAGGTAAGAAACACGTACTACTGCATCAAGGTTTTTCCTCTCTTTTTCCTCTTTTGTTTAAACGAAATTATTTTTATTTTAAAAAATATAATCTGAATGAACTCCACGCATTTGTGATAATAGGATACATCTTTCTAAGTACATTACAATAACTGCAGCCTAAACATGGGATGTATGGCAAATTTTCGTTCTCCTTTTTACTGTGCTTTGAAACTGAAAGATTTCGCGTAACGGATTACCTCGTTTGAATCAACGACCAAGAAATCATTTTCTAATCGGCGCGATATTTCAATGTATTCGTGAACCTCGGTAACGGTCTAGAGTATTGTAATTCTGTTTTGACTTCTGAAAACTCAGCATACGCAAACAAAAATAGAGGAGAAACGAATTGAAATGCGGCATTAATCCTTCCTACGAATGATTTTATGCGCCACTAATACGACCTAATAATTCTTGCACAACAAATCGCAACACATTTAGGAACGGCATTGATGACTAATATGCGAGTAACGCACTTCTTAACTTTTAAATCTACTTATTCAAATTATTCCCACAGGAACCGTTAGAAAATAGGTCAGCATTTTGGACAAAGTGTTGGTCATAAATAATTCCATCATGTCTAAAGCGTCCATATATAATATTAAATTCAATCCGACAATCTGTAAAAAAGAGAATGACCCAGCTCAGTTGCTAATGGTAATCATTTTCAGACAACATATTTTGGCCGGATGCCCAGGTGAATAAGAACACGAAATTCTTAACAGAGATTAGGTTTCTGCTTAATTAAAATAAAAATATTTTCTTATATCACCAAACTCCCTCGAAAATTACGTTTGTTTTTGCTGAACCTCTGTGCTGTATTTCTGTAAACATAGTTCAAAAACTATGAACTGAAATAATCTAGCGTATAATCGGTATTGTTTCCATTTGGGCGCTTTTTCTTTAAACCACCTACGAATAGCAAACCGACTTGTCCAGGTGATCAATAATTCACAACCGACAAAAGTGTACTAAAACATATGCAAATATCCAGAAATGTTTTTATTTTTTTCACTATTTTGCTTTTACTCACCAAGGTCATTAAGATGCTTCTGTTATTTTCGGAGTACCAAGTAGTCGTCCTAACATTATGGGAAATGCAATAATAGAAAAATAAGAAATGATGTCTATTTCACAAATTTCATAACCATTTGTTTCCTATAGCCTGGCACTATGCAAATTAAGAAGTTTGAATTTTTGTGGTCGGAAACGTGTCTTAAACTAATTGAATTCTTTTCGTCGTCACTAACGTGAAAACAAGTCAGGATATAATTGTAAATGTTTGGGTTTGCTCGGTCAAAACTTAATGGATTAAACTTAATCAAGGTTCTTTGAACGCGGTCCTGACGTTTCGAATATTCTCGAGATTGCAATTCCCCTAAGAACTAAATGATATATGTATTTAGCGCAACGGTTTAACGAATAAGAATTTCTGTACATCATAAAGTAACGGTGTTTTGTTTATTTTGATGTTTAAAAGAAATTATTCTCGAAATTATAATACCTGTGCGGTCTACTTCGAAATCGATTTGATAGAAGTTCCTGTTTAAATAAACGGAATTTGTCATCCAGTGAAAATTGCAATTTCCTTAAGGACTAAAATGGTCTGAGTATTTCGCGCAACGGTTTAATGAATGGGGATTTCTGAAATTCATGTAGTAACGGTATTTTGCTAACGCGAAAAAAAATATTTTAGAGAAGTTTTAATTGCAAAACGACCCACATCAATAATAGAAAAACACGCGCCATGCCGATAGAATTCAAAGGCTCTTATGCGTGTTGGAGTGAGGATACCACAAAAGTTTTCACGTTAGCGCAATAGCCTGAATAAGAAACCTTTAACCCAAAATAAATATACAACAACAACAAAAAAAGCACGAAGAAAACACAAATGGTTTTAACCAGCCATCCGTCTTCTTATAAAAAGGCCTTTGATCTAACCAAAGGTACATTTTCATCCATCTAATTTTGCAGAGTCATGTAACCTTTTTGTTGCTTTTAAGCGGTGTGCTCTGTCTGCCAATTATATTGTACCATCACTTACGAAAAGGAGCTTTCCTACAAGCAGCCATACCAAAAAAATCCTTCTTTTTTTTTTCTAGTCGTTCAAAATTCACCGGAACAGCAGTTGGGAAATCAAACACCAGCTGAATTTTTGTGAGACTACCTACAGTATCACTGAAAAAGAGTTTGCGCATGCACTATATTGAATCATAATACTGAACAAGCGGGTTAACCTGGTTATATGACCTACCACTATTTTTACTATGAGGAATCATCATGTAATGGAAAATAGTTAGGCACATTATTTTTATTTTCGGAGAGCAAATTTACTGTATGAAAAGGGTTGAACTTACTCTTTCAGTTAAGCAGCCATTAAGTATCAATTTTACAAACGACGCATCATGCACTATTAAAATATTGAGTGTTTTAAACACTTTCTTAGTTGCTGCAACAGAACCCCTGATACAAATAGATGTCTAGTCATTATTTCTTTCTCAAGCATCTAAGCGGTCCGGAATCCTAAATTCTCGAAGCTGATTGGCTAATTCCGTTTATCGTTTCATGTTTCGGTGAAGCCTCTCTCTTTAAAATTTATAAAAGTTTACCATGCAACCAGGTGAATAATCAGACATGGTTTGATGCTACTCTGGTTTAAGGATTTAATGAATGTAACCGGGGAATTACAATTCATAGACCCAAAGTTTTGACGTTCATGTTTTGTGCCTTCAATAGTGGTGATAAGACCGTTGCAACAAGAGTTCCTTTTATATGCTCAATAATTAGCAGCCCCATTTTCTGACGAGGTCTAAATAGGCGTCAGGTAGTAAGCTGCTATCATCACGATTCAAAGAAGCGGGGGCGGAATTAACATGCCAGGCTTCCAAACAAAAGCGCTGGTGATAATGCCGATTAGTGGTGATAATTCTAGAATTATCCCACCCGATTGTTCGGTTAGTCAGGCATGTGTGCTCCGACAAAGCTGAATTTTCTTTTTTTGCAGAAGACCGCTTTTTGATGCTTTTTCAAACGTGTACCAAATTGACTTTTGGTCTGTCCTTAAAGAAATCCTAGGATCCTTGGTCGGTCCGTATTGGGAAAAAAATGTGGCATCTGTCTTGAGTGCCAAGATCTCGGGCACCGTTTTTCCTAATAAGGATCTTCCGCCTGGTGAATAACATATATATCATTTAGGAAGAAGCTTTTGTTACTTCTCTTAACGGAAGATGTTCATTGAAAGGAAAAGAAGGTTTTTGTGCGTGATCAGGTCGCAAGCCGTTCATTAAATAGATAAATGTTGACCGCAGGCAACAAGATACCTGGCTATCGGTGTAATCAATATTGCGACCTGTTTTATCGATTGAGTTCCTCATAAAACAAAAAAAAGCTTTGGTGAGATGGGCGAAAGTTTTAGCATCTTTCTAGGCTGCGAGTGAGGCCTTTCCTGAACGCATGGCAAGTTTTACAGTAGTGATCTGCTGTGGTCCGGATTGACAGCTTAAGGAATACTATTCATTTTAAAAATTTTTTTATCAGAGCCTTGGGAATACGTTGATAGTCGTTAACAAAGTTTTTGGGCGGTCCTTAAATCTCATAAAGCTTGAAATGCAGCAAATTATTTCCTCTTTTTTTTCACTTTTACACACTATTTTTCCCTCTTTAAGAACGTTAATGGAAGCTATACATCTCATTCTTGTGTAATTGTTTTCACCATTTTGCGTTTCTGTGCAAATAACTGAAAGCGAAATTAATAACCATTTATTTTCAAAGAAAAATGTCCCCTTGATTATTAAGATAGATATACAAAGATTTCCACAGAAATAGGTCATCTAGATTCTAAGAAGATGATTGCATGCAATGTTTGTGAAATGTGACCTAAAAATTTTTTCGAATATCGTTGATGTTTTCATGTTAACGAGCTCCACATCGCATATCGTTTGCCCTTCCTCCTATAAAAAGATCGAAGTGAGTGAGCTATATTAACATGTTTTACAGCTATTTTTCAAAATATCACCGTAGACAGTCGATGTCAAATTCAGTTTTAAAATATATTACATTGTAGCTGTGAGGTTGATTGAAAATGCAAATCAATGTATTTACAGCTGAAGATCGTTTATATTTATAAATCAAACAAATTTGTTTCATTTGGTCGCAGAAGAAAATTAAAAAGAGAGAGAAATAACAATGGTTTCCTGATGTGCTCAGTAAAATTCATTTTCGTCTCATTTTCTTAGAGATGTCAATCGACGTTTGGAGAAAGCGAGCATGAAATAAAACGTGAGAAGCAGGTAGGTCATGCAGTTACACAAAATCTATTTCTACACTTTAATTCAAGGTGTTGAATCATACGAGTAAAATTTGATATTTACCTCTTAGAGCCACAGTCTGTAAGTTTCCAATTTTAAGAATTATAATTTATGTTTACCATGACCGAAAGCTTAAGAAGCAACTTAACTATATAAAAATTACACCATAATTTTCTATACTTCAGATCTTCGAATACTCGAGAAGAATTTCTTCAGAGGGCAAACTAAATTCTCCTTACTTAAAATAATGCACTTGGTACGAAAGTGATATTTCTTACGACAACTTAAACAACTAAAAAAGTCATGCTTACGAGAAAACTCGAATAACTATAAACTCGTTTGATAAAATTATTGGGGTTCTGCCTCTGCATCAGTTATGTGTATATCCAAGCAATTCCAAATCATTAGCAAAAACAGCTTGCTTTCGCGTTTGGCCTGTTTCTTAACCAGAAATAAGGATTCAATTTTAATTCCTTTTTTATTTCTATATAAACAATGAAGCAATCAAAACATAGTCTCAGACAACGTAATCAATTTTTCTCAAACTGTGCTTTTAAAAGTTTACTGCGCGGGGCTTTTTCAACCGGATTGCTATAAGCTTAGAATACATAAAAACACCAATAATAATTTTGGAATTTAAGTAGGACTCGCCCGTTGTTTTAGAAAATCTCTGCATGTGGTGGTGAATATAAAAGTATGTCAAACGTGGAAAACAGCCATAATTTTAGCGAAAAAAAATTTTCTTTGAGTTATTTTTCTGTGCAGGTTTTTTCAAATTAAGATAACTGACAGATAAAGGCAGGGCAAAAGAGTTCCAAAGAAGCTCCATCTCAAGGCTTTGTGAGCCTTTAAGAAGATTCAGTATCCCTCACAGGGAGTAGGCAGCTTTTGCTTCAAATAAGCCATTATCAAAACATGCATGAATACTTCTATTGGTACTGGCGGGGTATGAATGCCCAACGCTCCATATACATTGGTCTACTAATTTTTTTGAGTGCATTCCATTAAAGTAAAAGTGAACACAATTAAAGTCCTTGCATTTTCGACATCTATCACGAAAACGAAAAGTAAGGGGCCACATGCGAATAAGCACACACTTGCATTGATTCTAAACAAAAGAGAGACATAAAAAGTATATATATTTTAACTTAATTGAGCAGCTGCAGAGAGGTTTTTAACGTTCGCTTGATCAAGACCTCCATGGATCCTTTCAGTCTGACCATTTAAGCGTGTTCATCGAGGAATATATGAATTTCATCATGAATGAAAACAATAACAATAAGGATCAAAGACCCGACATGCAACTTCATGGGCACTTTTTGAATAATCATGGTAAACCGGAATTAAAATCAAAAGACGATAGATGACAGTTGCGAAAATTACGACCTGGTAAATGATTCTAAAAAAAAAGTTTGCTAATCTACTAATTGCTAAATGCATTTTTTTAAAATTTCACGGATGTCTCAAAATTTTTTTTGTTGCTTCTACGAAAAAGCAACGTTGATTTTTAGGATTTATTTTAGGTATGTTTCCAAAAAATATAGTGATAAATTTACAATAACTTTTATAACAGCACCTACGTCTTCAAAATCTTAGATCTTGAATGCACGCTTTCGGAGAGTAGCATAACTAGCGATTAAATAATTTTGAATGAGATACGGTTATATATTTATCCCAAAATGACAGCGATTCTCGAGCTTCGTAATGTTGTGCATTACTGCAAAAGAACCAAATTAAACTTCTTTGGAAAGCAGCTTTCATAAAGCAAGAACTGTTATACTAAAACATGTCCAAGAAAATTTACATTCCTGTTTTTCATAGAAAACAATCTCTTTCAGTCAGTAGACAATTGTTTAGCAACGAACTAACAAGTCTAACAAAAAGAGCTGCTAAGTTACGGGCTATGACGTCATTCCCTGATATTTTGGAATGAGGTACATCTATTTTGTTCAGTTTGATTCTACCTTTTTTCTTTTGTGAATTGTTTTTCCATCGATATGAAAAACCCCAAAAGAATGCTAGGCTATCCAAAGCGATTCACGGCGATTTAGAACGCTGCTTTAATCATTTTTTTGTTGAGTTTTACTCTCATTGAAAATCTTGCTCATTTTTTATCTGTTTGGGTATTTAAACGACTAAAATACATCAAAGAAAAAACCAAATGTCCGTGCCGTGGAGATCTTCGATTTCTTTCGTTAATTTCTCAGGAAAACCAGAATGATCTTATAGGGGAATCATTTCTTTACATTTTAAACAAAAATTAAATGATACTCCATACTGAAAACTCTCATCAACATAATCACGCGACATAGAAGATAATTAGAATCAACACAACTGAACAACTGGTACATAGCTGCTGACGACTCACTTTGCGTAAGTTGTAAGAATAGTTAGAAAACCTAGTCTCCTGTCCATTGTTATCACGTAAGATATCATATATAGATTTAGTATAATTTCAGAGCTGAGCATAGAGTTTCCAGCAATTTGATTGTTCGAGTGGTTCCTCATATGACGCTATATAAACCGCTCCACGCGGTGGATATAAAATGTTAAAATAAAATGTTAATAGATGTTACTAAAATGTTATGATTTTAGAAATTTCTCTGTTGTTCAGCTCTGAAATTGTACTAAAACAATTATTCGCCTCAGGTTCGGTGAATATTGTCGAATAATCCCCTCGACTTCGTCTCGGGAATTATTCGACGATTTTCACCTCGCCTTTGGCGAATAATTGTTAATTATAATTTCTATATTTAGATCGGCCTTTCAGTCACAGTTTGATAGAAACAAAGATTTGAAACTTGAAGATGTGTTCACTATGTAAGAAACAATATCCTGGGAAGAAAAAAAAAACAAACAAAACGAAAAAAATTGAAACAATAAGCAAATTTGAAACGACTTGAAGGGAGCGGAGATAACCTGGGAGCACGTCATTAGCCCTTATCGCATTTGTGTCTGCAATGCAAAGGGCCCGCGGAGTTACAGTTTCAGGACGAGGCTATCGGGTCAACGTTTCCCGAGAAACACCAGAAACACTCCATGTCTGACCATATAACTCTGGAATCTGCGTTTTTTTTCTGCCGAGTAAAAGGCTAAAATTCTTAGTCCTGGCATCACAAAAGGAAGATTGAAGGAATGGCTGTCATTTCGGAAAGGAACGGCAAAATTTTGTCGCGTTTGCTCATGACTACGGTTGTTGTTCCTTTGTCGGCCTTTTTTAAGGTTTAACTCAGAGTCGCGTTTCAAGGCTCTCAGCGCCTTGCGTTCGGCCGGAAGCAAATTATCTTTTGGCTTTGTAATTTCTATTTCTGAAAGGTCACTTTTAACCTCTTCTAAATAGCTTTCAAGGGCTACTGATTTTTTTATTGGTGGTATCCATGTAGATTTGACGTGGTAGGGATGGGTTTGTTTGTCCTCCCCTCGGAATATGTAAATCAGACGCATTCTCCTTGCGAACTGATCAAAGTCACACAATAGTTGTTGTCTGATCTGTTTTTGTTTTGTAGCGGGTGTTGGAATGAATTTAAGCCCTTTTGCCAGTAAATTAATCTGGTCGTTTGTAAGTTCTTTATTTGAGAGGTTTTTTATGTGCGTTTTGTTCGCCTCTAGTTTGATAGTTGAACGTGTTTGGCAAGACCGCGGTTTCGATCCTAATCTTGTGGATCTCGTCAGTTGCCGATTCACTGAATAGACTGTTGCACCCGTACGCAATACAATGTCTAACCATGACGAGAACACGCTGTATCCTTAAGAAAATGAATAAAAATGCCTCCAAACGTAGCCGTTTGCTTCGATTTTACTTGAAAGTTTTACCTGTGTGACCCGATAGCCTCGTTTCGAAACTTCAAAGTCCGCTGAGCTCTCGTACAGTGGGCGTAAATGCGATAAGGGCTATTGACACTTCTGAGGGTTGAGGGTGAGATTCTTCTAATCGCTGCTTAT